ACTGTGCGTCTTTGTACGTGTCTTGACATTTACAAACTGCGATAAAACCGACATGAGGGAGGAGGGAATAGAAAACAGGGCGAGAATAATTTGAGGTAATGTTTTGCTTAGTGAACAGTATTACCCAATCCTGGATGTTGGAGCACTGGGAAGGAGGTTCTGGCTCTGAGGCTGCAGAGAGGGTCTGGGTTTCATTTTTCGGCAAGTGCAAGCCAAAGGAGAGCTGCCAAGTACAGCTTTCGCTCTCAACACTTCCTGCTCTTCCTACTCTGGCTCAGGAGGAGACAGGCTTCACTCAAACATCATGTCGACTTAGGCAGGGGTGGCCAGTTTATTCTCCCATTTCTCCATGGGCGTCAAAAACCCACATCTGTCACATGAATTACACCAAACGCAGCCATAAATAAAACACCACTGTGGATATGTTGTTAAGCCACAAATAAAAGGTGTGTGCACGCGTGCGTAAATGTAGACAAAAAGCATTTCCTTTACAAGTTAACAGCTTTAAATGACTCACTGTAAAGTCTCGAGAAACACCGCAGCGCAGGTCCCAGAGCTCAGTGGCATAATGCAAAAAATCCAGAAGGAACACCTGCAGCAATCAACTCTCAATCACAACAACAGTGACCCCATCCACTGCATCATTTTCATTATGGATGGTGCGAGCACAATGCTAGATTAACACTACCTACTGAGTGCCATCTTAATTGCCCCTCTGCAGATGCAGTGAAAACATGTCATTTAGGTACTTCATAAACAGACTTCTCTTTGCAGGTTATCAAGACAGCCGCTCAGTGAAAACACACCCTCTTTTCCAATGCTGATGTGCAATTAAAATGGTTTTAGAAATCCTCTTTGACAGTCCAGGGCTTAGCCAAAAATGTAAATGACATTAAAGGAGACAATGAATTTAATTTTGTTTAATGTCCCCTTTCGCTGATTCTCATTTACATCACATTTCCACATAAAGGGCTGACCTTATAAATACTGGCATTTGTTCAGCTTTTGGAGGTAATCACGGTTTTGCAAAAACCAGATGGGAGCACACAAATTTTCCGATTTGTTTCTTAGAAGGCCGAGGGAACCACATGTGAGACGTTCTAAGGCTGCAGCCCTTTGTTTCTGGTAAACAACTTGACAACAAGTCAAGTGCACTCTGGGAAATGACCTCGTAGGTGTTCCACAAATGAACGATAACGCAAAGTCATTTAGAAAATACAGGCTCACTAATGAGGGACATAACGGAAAGCTAAGCAAAATTTACATTAGGCCAAAATTTAATTGCATTAACACACGAACAGGTGCGGGGAGGCCTTTATAAATGAGCTAAATGAATAAAAGCCTCCCACAGCACAACCATGTGTGCTGACCAAAAAAAGAGACAAGGGGAAAAAAATAAGGGGAAATACAAGTCAATGTCATGAATTATTCAGTGGCTGGGCTGCACTCCAAAGGTCAGTGCTCTTTGACCTTTGCGACAGGAAGTGAAAGGGAGTGCCGTGGCCGCTGGAATAAATGGAGCTGACATGTTTAGCTCTGGTCCAGAATCCGTTTCTGAATGGCAGCGTAAATTGACACAGGATGTTAAACTGTATGAACATACATTAAATTCGAAATTCATATATGGGTAGAATACACACTGATAACGCACTCTCTCGCTCTCTGACTGTCTCAATTCGACTTGCATAAATTGCTCCAGCTTCTCAGAGTAAAACGTGACCTTTGAACCCCGGCACACAGAACGAGTCATTTTCTCTCCTCTTTCAACAACATGTGCTGTCTTATTACAAAATCCATGTGTGAGCCTGAACAATGTATCTAATCTTTCACACAAGAGAAGACAAAGTCAATATGCAAGAGAGTGAAGACAGATACCAGACCAGGGGAGTCATCGCAAATTGAGTTATGTTTGGCTATACACTACATGCACTGTAAATGGGAAAACCATCTAATCAGATATTGGTACCTCATCACTATAATTCTAAAGACTCAAATTACCGACTGAATAAACCTGCACCCCCACTTACTTTAAGGCACCATTAACTTATAAATGTGATATCTGTAGCACTGCTGGATTTATAAAGGGGAGAGATGATTACACCAAACTGCAAAGTGCTGTGGTCATAGCAACAGTGCTACAATTAATCATAAAATAAATTACTGCTTCTTTTATTTAATGTAAGCAGCAACTGAATTTGACATTTTTAATCCGATAAGATATTGGAAGAAAGAAAAAAAAAAGTATGCTCATACTATTGAAGACAATACATTTTTTTGTAAAGCATAATATACTGACTTTTCCCAAAAGATAATGAAATTTGAGTCACAACACATATAAACCCACCCAAATGCAACAAAAATAGGGCCTTTCTTCATCCAAAAATGAGTCTGAATAATGCAAGGGCATCAAATGTAAGTGCTGAAATATTTAAAGACCAAGCAGTGCTGAAACTTTGTGACAGCTGTTGGGCCTATATCTAACCAACTTTTTTTTTTTCTTTTTTTTTTTTTAAGAGAATCCTTCCTCTTCAAAAATCTGAGTGAAAATCTGTATCAAAACTCTGAGAGAAAATAGGGTAAACAGATGTCTGGCTTGACCGCAGGAAAATAGGACACATTTGGAATGATAAGTTTCCCAAACTCCGTTGGATATGCCAGATCCATGGGAACGCCAGTTAATGTCTTGCTAGATGCCAGCTAGCTGTGTGCGCTTTCCCCTCTTACCATCTGGGAAAATGTTACAGCGAATGAACGCCATCAATGATTCACTCCAAATCTGTTTCTTAAGGTTCGACCATGCTACTGTTTCTCTAGGAAATGTGGCTGTGCTAGCTGGTTTTCATACTGTAATTGTAGACAGATGAGACATGCCTGATTCAACAATCAAACCTCTCCTCTAGGTTTATGTCACTCAGCTATGTTCTACTCAATTGGAAATAATCAGTTTCTGCCAGCAGCGACCGCAGCACAGGTGCCTGTAATGATGTGCATGAGAAAATGACAGCTGTAACAGAAATGGCTGTAAAACATGGACGCTTTCACTAAAAGCTTACCCATATGCACAGCGGGAATAGTCAAGTAATTGCAGTAAATAATCTTACGTAGGGAAACCTACAGTGTGCTCTGGTCATGTCCGTAACTCACGCTAAACCCTGCAACCTCTCACAAGCACCCTTCTCTGCAAGCCTCCTGCAGTCACTGGGAACCTGTGTGGGTCTGTTAGGGTGAGCTGACGGGCTCATAGTTACGACATGGAGACAATGGGAGGGTCTAATGAGGAACATATGCTTTTGTGTTTCAACAGAGCCGCTCATTGTGCAAGGAAAGGGATACTCTACTCCTATTCAGACTCATCACAATGAAAATCCGAGCCCTCCCTGAGCCAGTTGAGCTTACAATATCCATCCGCTTCTTTTTTCCCTGTTCTTTTTTTTTCCCACCCCTCTTCTTGACTTTAATTCTCCATGCATTCATTTTGCTTATTGTACTTATGTTACATGTTTTGTCCTGCAGATTGAAGAACAATGGTGTGCGAAACTCTAAGCAGTAAAAGGCAGCAGAGCGACACAAAGCAAAACATGAAAGCAGCAGAAATTAGGCAAAGTAGACGTCTCAAGTTATATGTTAATGTTTGCACTATCATCCCTGCACCTGAATAATAAATTAAGAAATCCACTTGGTCCCAGATACAACAAAAAAAAAAAAAAACTCTGTCCTTACATTGTCCTAAACACGTCAGTACTTTTTCTTGGGCATGCACCGTGACTGTCAGACAGAATATAAACATTCAACCAGAGCGACAGCAAACACAACATACAAGCAGCATGCGTGCATATGAGGACGTGTATGCGTGTGTGTGTGTGCGTGGGTGTCTGTCTGTCTGCGTGCTTGTGTCCTCCTCTGTGTGTGCATATCTGCATCTATCTGCGTGTGTGTCTGTGTGAGTTTGAGTTCAGACAGCAGTAGCTCTGGTAATCCATCCAGGCTCCCAGGGCAGCCAGCTCCTACTTCCTGATGCATGAGAAGCCGCTGGAGTGGAGTGGCAGCAACAACTGCTCAGCCCTATTTGATTACTAATAAGAGAGTTGTCCCCTCTGTCAGATACCAGGCATTCTCCACTAAGCAAACAGTGATTCCGGCTAGTCAAACATTAGCATTGCTGTCTCTCCCTACTACGTGGTGAGAGTTACATTGAGATCGACGCTCAAATGAAACCCCCTACCTCGCCCCTATATCCACCACACACACACACACACACACACACACACACACACACACACACACACACACACACACATACACGAACACTGACACACACACACACACACACACACACACCTACCTAAACATATTCAAACTGACCAGGCCATATAGTTTCACAGTGTAAGAAAAATGTCAATGCCTGAAAGAAGACCATTTATTCTCCCTCTTTAGAAAGTGATGAAGGGCAATATAAAATGCGGCAGATGTATCTTTCCTGAAGGTGCAGAACAAAACAGCAGACATAAAACGTTTATCCCTCCTAAAACGAAACTTTAATGGCATCTAGCTCACAGCTAACTTGAGAGAAGGAAACAGTCAATGAAAAACAACTATTGACAGTGTAAGCATCACTGTCGTAAACAAAGAAAGGAAGCCAGCCAAATAAATGCGAAGTTGCCTAAGCTAATTAGGTGTATTCCCAGCATGATCCTCTAGTGATTGAGCCACCTGTGATTGAACAAACCCTATCCAGGTGGTGACCGCCCCTCAGTGCACAGGTACCTGGGAAAGACGCCCCTCAGCCACTCACACAGAATCACCCACAGTTCCCACACTGTGGTGCTATAAGATGCAAGTCAGCCCAACTGGGCCGTCTGGCACACCGGGAGGGAACTCATTTGTTCACTAGCTGATCCATGTGCCTGCTCATCCATTTAGTCAGTCAGACACTCACTCATTCATTTACTCACTCATTCCCTCCCGTTCACAAACACAGAAGGAGCTGCACACAAACCTACCTGTCAATGATCACAGGGTCTGATGGGGTCTCGTTCCTGTTTCCACAGCTTTTCTTGTCACAGCATCGGCTATAGGAACATAGACAGGGTGTGTGTCAGAACAAGCAATACTTTGCTAAATAAATAAAAATAAATAAATAATGCACACAAAAGCACATACATTTATGAAGTGCCTTGGAGTGGTTTTGATATCAGGGATAAAAATTGCCATGAGATTTCCTCCACCCAATCTATCCATTCCATTGATGCTGATGGCTGATAAAAATGGTGAAAACAACATGTTGTGTTGTTTGGCTTAGTGTTGGAGGGGAGGGGAGTGGGGATTGGGCCAGGAGGCAGGGGAGTCACTTTTCACAGCTTCAGCTTTTGTTTACCTCTAATTGCCAAGCTGCTATTTCTGAGGGAGATGCAAGGTGCCACCCTCAACCAATATTTCTGCGGGGCATTTATCAATTATGGCCTCAAAAGCACTAATCTATCTTCCACCACATGTTTCAGCCATCTCCTCCCTAAGCCTATAGCTCGCCGCCTTTCGCTTCTTTGATTAGAACTTGAATCAAAACTGCAAAAATAAACAAATACATCATCCCAGCTTCCATGTGAAATGAAAACATATAAACATATGTGAATAGGATTGATTTATGCCATATGGTGCAGACAGAATAACAAAGATTGTGTGCAAAGCTACTGTCAGTCAACCACACGGTATTTAAATATGTCTGATTTACATGACTTTCTAGCAGGAATAATAAAGATGTTTTATAGCTAAGGTGCTGCAAAGTATTAGAGCAAAAATATCATTCAAAACTACTGTATTACAAGCATAAAAAATAAGCTGAGATTAAACGCTTATTCTTATTATAACTGCTCTTATTACATATACCTACTTATCTGATTATAGGCAGCAGTTAAAGCAGTTCTTCATTCAGCAGCAAAACGCACTTCCTCTTGACAAAAAAAATATTACCTCTAGAGCACAAGCATATTCACCGTGTCACAAATAAGTGATGGATGCATGTATAAATTGAGCGTGAGTGATGAGTTTATGCATGGAAAAAGACAAATCATTCTCAGCTCTCATGCTGCACTTGCTCTCAACCAGTAACTTGAACAATGCACCGGTGCAACAAAGGAGAGGTTAACCGACAGTATCCGAATTCAATGTTCACAAAGCTCATGCTGAGCTCAACAATAACAACAAAAGGCGTTTTTCCTTTTAGTATCAATGACACCGCTGAATAGCAGCGCAATATGAGAGGTGGAGATTTATGTGGTTAAATGACGCTAAAAGGCTCGCTGATCATTGTTGACAGGTGGGATCAACCGAGAACTGACTCTGTGCTAAAAAAAAAAAAAAAAAAAAAAAAAGACTGATACATAGCATGCAGCGTCTATGCATAACTTAACAGAGAACACATTGTCTCTGGCAGACGCAAATGATGACATACAATTCTTAAAATATAAAAATAAATAAACTAAAAATTAAAAACATAACTTATGTACTGTGTCACTGGCTGTTTATTACACATTGAGTTTCAATTCACTGCAAAAGACAGTCAGTGCGTTCTCACTGTCATATTCATATTCATATCAAAGTTGAATCACATCATATCAAAGTTAGAAATGACAGCAGCTCTCTCTCTCTCTCTCTCTTTGTGAGTGTGTGTGTGTGAGTGTGTGTGTGTGTGTGTGTGTGAGTGTCTCTCTCTCTGTGTGTGTGTGTGTGTGTGTGTGAGTGTCTCTCTCTCTGTGTGTGTGTGTGTGTGTGTGTGAGTGTCTCTCTCTCTGTGTGTGTGTGTGTGTGTGTGTGAGTGTCTCTCTCTCTGTGTGTGTGTGTGTGTGTGTGTGAGTGTCTCTCTCTCTGTGTGTGTGTGTGTGTGTGTGTGTGCATGTGTAAGTGATTGCTGAAGGACCACAGGACAGTCTGGATTGCTGCATCACATCATGAGTGTCAAAAACTTATTGAAGGGGAGGGGGTGGGTGGGAGGGAGGGGGGGTTAGATTGGATCTGCAAAAATGGACAGAGGAACAACAACAGCAAAATAATAAAAATAAAAATAATAATGCTTACCTGCACATAATTTCATGAGTAAGAAGAACTCTGCACATTTCTGGATTCTTGTCTTGGCCCTCATAAACTATGGCCTTAGAAAGGAAATGAGATGGAAATAAAAGTGAAAACACAGTCATCTCTTAAACACATTAATTCACAACTAATTAGACCAACATAGCTGCTGTTCTTGAACTTCATGAAATAAATCAGGGCAGGAACACACATGATGTTAGGACAAAACAATATATTAGATGAGTGCAAAGGCTGAGTAAGACTTTGGTTAAGATAATCACACTGTGATAAATTATATGAATTTATCTAAATATCTATTACATTCACCCAAATAAACAATTACAAAAAAATATAACTGACAGAAACAACAATAATAAGAGCATCAACAATATTTTTAGTGGCAGTAATAATAAAAGATATAATTATAAAATGAATGGTAACAATAATGGTAATGATAATAATAATAATAAATTGTGTTTTTTTATTAATCTAGATAATATCCTGTGGCTCAGACAGACAGACAGAGAAAGAGAGACAGAGAGATTTTCATAAGGAGAGATCCAATAGAAGTGTCATCAATATGCTTATAATCTGGGGATATTTGGGGGAAAGTGTTAATGGGCAATCTGTTGTTTATTTTGAGCCGCTAACAATGATCTTTCTGTGGATAAAAAGCGGTGTCTGGCGGTACGGTTGAGTAATTTTTGAGCATTGGCTGAAACAGATGGCGTGGAGCTATCAGTTCTGCCGCTCTTCTCTTTCTCTCCCTCCCTCGATCCCTCCCTCCTTCTTCCATTTCTAAGGATAGACTCTTCACTCCCTCGTACTGAACCGGCACCAAGTGTAGACGCAAGCAAAGCATCACATTATTGACAAAATACTTACAAATATAACTATATCCTATACATACATATATATATAAATATACAAAATAACAAAAAGAAAAAAATACAATAAATAAGCAGCGTGATGTTTGTTTATGTTTTGCTGCCATGAATAAATTCTATGTGTTTTTTTTTTTTCTTTTGGCTCGCTTCAGGCGAATAAGAGAGAGTGACTTTGAAAAAGTGACATATCTGAACCAGGTCGCATCAGTCTTTTTTTTTTTTTTTTTTAAGCTGTCCTACTTGACCTGATGTATGTGTGTTTTTTCTTTCTTTTTTTTTTTTTGTTCTGGGAGCCGGGCGATTATCTATATTGGTTTGATTTATGTCGCTATTTGCAGCTGTAGAAACAGAAATCCATAAATTGCTTGTTCTGCGTCATTGACTCGGATCATTCGCACAGGAATGTTGTCTGTGACCAGTGGCCCAGGCTTCACGGCTCTATTCAGAAGACTCTACCTTAAACCCTCCGTTTCAACACAAAACATGGGCTGGAGAGCTGAAGTGAGGACGCCTGATTTTATTCCCCTAAATATAATTAAGTTTACAAACCTCTGCGTTGGCTTAAAACGTGCGTGCAGACATAGAATAATAACATTTGCTGCGCTGGGCTCTGGGTGAAAAGTCACTCAGCTGTTTGTGAGGGTGATGAGTGAAATGCACCTCAGCAAAAATAGATTAATATTAATATTTATAAATATAATACGTTATGCAATTTTTTAAAATATCTTTAGAGCGTCACCTCTGGCTCTGTGCAGGAAAAGCCAGATAAGATCATATGGAGCAGACGTAGCGTTTAAATTTTAATGTTGGACAAACTGAGCCTACAAAGAAGCCTAACTCAAGCAGAGTAAAATCGACTTTGGAGTCTTGCAATATGATATGGCCAAACATAAACAGTCCAAATGGAGGCTGTCTCTTCTTGTTACACCGGTAATTTGATTTTATTTTTCGCCTACCACTATATTTTGCAAGAAATTTTTTTTTTTTTTCTTTTTTTTTTTGTGGTGCATGTTATCTCAGGGGGTGACAATTTGCACGGCGTGTTAAGGTTTTGCACAAGTGTAACCGTGGATGTGCAGCAAGAGTTGCACCGTGCGTGGACACACAAGTGTAACAGCAGCTCTTACCTGCTTCGTCATGGAATCGATTAACCGTATGTAAAGATCCTGTTCTGTTCTGACGCCTGCAGGGGAGAGAAAACACAAGAGCACTGGTCAATTTTGAGGAATTGTTGACAATAAATAAGAAAAAAAGAGAGAAGAAAGCCCTCGGAAAAAAAAAGTTTGGTAACATGTCATTAGAAAAAACAAAGAGTCCAGAATCTTACTGGATTAAAAAAAATTATCAGACTGCTTTTACTATTATAATTATAAATATTATCATTATCACTCTTATTGTTAACCCTATTATTATTACTGTTGTTGTTATTATTAGTAGTATTATTATGAGTGGTTTTATGCAGGCAGACAAACTCATATTTGATATGTTTGCACGTGTTTGCAAAAATATTAATGGCATTTGAACTCACCATTGCTGTACAATAACTGTAGTTTGTAATGTATCCCATTGTTAGTTTTTTCACTGGTTGGTTCCTGCAGAAGAAACAGTTTGTGAAAATCAGCATCAACAAAACAACTGCCTGTCAATACACCACATGTCTGTGTGTTAAAATATATGTGTGTGTGTATTTATATTTATAGTTTTTGTGCAAAAGAAGAGAAACAGCTTTAGTTGTTAAAACGACTCTCTGTCATCAAGGAATTGAGTTTTTAAAAAAATCAATATTACACGTGACTTCCCCTTAGTAACCCATTGCCATTTCAGAGAACATAATTTCGATACATGTGCTGATTATGTTCAGGGGGTGCATGTATTTCTAAAATACACCGCTTACTTTTTCTTTCTCCACAAAGTCCACAAAAGCTGTCCTTTCGATCTCCACGGGCTGACCCTGTCTGTCATACAGCGCCAGGACGAAATGGAAAAAATTGGATTTTCTGAGGTTGGAAGGGGGCTGCTTTTCATAATGTGCCCGTGCCAAGCCGACACCGCTGCGGGGAGAAAACAAGAGACCATCTCGGTTAAGCACCGGACACCGGGGATACTAGATGATGGAGAAGCTGATGGAAACATTGGAGATGCAGAAGCACGCTCGAGTACGGGGGAGATTTCTTGATTTGTCACAATAATGGGTAATCTCATGTAATGAAAGAAGGGAAAGCCGAAGGGGGGGCATTTATTGGGAGACCGTAATTGATACAGAGTATTCAGGGGATTGAGGGGTCGATATGATGAGGAGGGAATGCGTGAGAAAAATCAGATGCTTTTGGCATGCGTACCTTTGGGCGGCTGTGTTTGCATCCACCACCCCAGCTGTGTGCATCCAGGAGCGGACCGAGTTCAGTCCACCCAGCGGTTCCTCCTTCATCGTCGTCCCACCCCGCGGTATAGTTTCCTGAATCCCAAACATTTAGGACAATTTGCGTGAAAAAAGAGCCTCCTGCGAAATTAGGGAAATAAACGTCCAAGCGTGTTATCCTTCAGGGTTTTTTTTTTCACGGGATAAGTAGCGAGAGCCGATTCAGACTTGCGAGGGAAAACCCGGTCCACAGGTCTTGCCTCCCTCTTCAGTCCGTCCGATGTGAACAATTCTCAAAGTGCTGTACTTAGTTAGAGCGGTATCCACAGACTGGAAAAGTGAATTGTTCAATAGACAAGATTTTTTTGTGTTGCTATTGTTCCTCTTTGTTTTTTCTTTTTCTTTTTTCTCTCTCTTTTTTTTGTGCTATTCACAGAAAAATCGATGGCAGTTGTTTGTGTTTGTGGGTGATGCTGCTCTCAAAGTGCCCACATCCCTGAAGCACCGCATCCAAAACCTTCAGGACTTCTTGTTGAATAAAAAACCCACTCCTGAAAAGGTGCTGCTGCTTCTCCACAAGACAAACACAGGCAAAGGCTGATCACCAGTGGAGGTGTTCCTAGTACACAGGAGAGGTGGATAAGGGGCCCTTTCGCGTCGTGCAGGATGGATGGGAACATGCAAAACTAAGCCCTCTTTCCCCGAGGACTGAAATCTTTCCCGGGAGCCAAAACTCTAAACCCACGGGAGAGGCGCTGTCAGAATATGACGCTGAAGGGGCGTGGTTTTGACCATATATGGTGCTCTGACGGTTCCTGTCAGGCAGTGGCGCTCCACTGTACGGGTACAGCCCTATAGTGCAGCAGCCTGAGAACACTCACTCGCTCCACTTTTCCTCTTGCTTAGGCCCTATATGTGGTGAGTTTGATTTTTTTAACGATATGGAAAATTCAACCGGGTGTAACCATCACACATAATGAGGAAAAAAAAATAATAATAAAAGAAAATAATACATAATAATAACTCGAAATTCAGGATTCATTGCTTATTGGTTTTAGCTGGCCTAATGATTGCAATTTCCGTGATTAGTTTTATTATAGCCTATTGGATTAAAATTAATAGTATTTGATATATTTATTCGATTAAATTTGTTATTATGATTACAAATTGGCTTGATGAGATTGTTTGTTCACTAATGTATCGAAAGCATCTCAATAGCTGTCTGAATGTACAGGCCATAAATCATATTTCAATAATGGCAGATCATGTTTCCTCATATTACTGATATATATATTTTTTTATTGTGCACTTTTAACTCTTACGCTGCAGCTTATTTTATTGTAATTAAAATGTAATTAACATAAGGCTGATTTCTCAGAATCAGACATGGTTTATAAATCTATTAATTTATATCAACTTCTCATTGAAAATTTTAACAACAGATGATTGACTCTCACTTGTTTGGCTGTCAGTCGCGATGCAGCTCGTTTCTTTATTTATTGCGAGAAGCATGAAATATAAACAAGGCTTGAAAATCAGACATAGTGTCTTAGCATCCATATTATTAATGTCAAAACTAATCAGTCACGTCGCTGTGCCATTTGCAGGAGATAAAGTCAGACCTCCTGACTTTCTTTTTTTATGGGCTAAAAAAAAAGCACAGCCACCGTGTCTCATGACATTAAACAAACTTCAGGAAAAGCCATGGTTCTGTGTCTTCTTTATTTCATGCACGTCCCGTAAAATCAGTAATAATCAGAAACATCTAAATCATTTTTAAAGAGCCAACTGCCTACATGTCCGACTCTGTCCGAGAGGAGCAAGCAAGCAATCCGGTTCATTAGTGGTGAAAAGGAGGAGAGGATGGAGGGAGAGAGGGGAGGGTGCGAGGAAGAGAGATGTGTGCTATATCCTGAGCAATCTATCTAGCTGGTGCTGAGGGTTAATAGCTGCTGCCAAAGATAAGTGAATTATAAGCTGTTGCTTTCACCTCTACACAATCTATTGCCAAATTGCCCAGTCACAAAATGAGGGTGTGGGTTTTTTTTTTTTTTTTTTTTTTTTTTAAACTTTTTTATTATTTAAAAGAAATCCAAGTTTCAATTTGTGGAAAAAAATATCAGGAGAAACTCAAAGGGGGGGGGGGCTCTTTGTTAATTTTTTTTTCTTAGATGAAACAAACCGACACGCATGTTGTAAATGTTTTTGTCTGTTCTACCGAGATTGCAAATATCTTTTTTGCACAGAACTCACTGAGCTTTTTTTGCACAGTTTCAAGTCGCTTATTAGAACTTAACCCCTGATTACACGCACCAAGGCGATTTAAATCTGATTATCAAATTAGGAGACTTTGAGACAAATCCTCTTAGATCTGATACTGTTGACTGGAGAGGGAAAATGGATCTCCACACCCGTCACGTAGGTAACGATGCTGTCCTGAAAGGGAGTTTTAAACCGTATTTGACAACAAATGCAGCTGCCCCGCTATTTCAGAAGATATTAGAGGAAAATGAATGCAAATCTGTGTGCAGGGGCCATCTGGACGTGGAGAGAGGGAGTCAGCTGCTCCACACACTGAGGCGCGGAGCCTGAATCCGTCTCAGCTCATTCTGTGGGATCATCTGCGTGGTGGGCTTACACCGTGGAAAATGCGCTCTCCATCATTAGGTGAAATGTTAGCATCAAAATAAAGGAAATGTTGATCCCCGTTGGTTTTAGTGGCTGCGTGCATGAAAACTTTGCACGGGCGTGGAATTAGAGGATCTTATAGTCACATTTTATCATTTCTCGAATTAAAAAAAAAAAGCTGTTTCTCAACAGCACGCTGGAGGTAAGTGATGGGTGACAAGCAGGGAAACAAGTGCAAACTGTTTGCCTGCATGATCTCTGCATCTTTGGCCGCACTGAGCCAGGCTGACTGCTCGTTTAAATGACCGGTTGATGACACGGGGGGCTGTTATCTCATGCTTCTATTCAGTGGCCACAATGAATGAACCCCCAAAGATTTGGGCCTGACCATTGATATAAAACCAAACTCCTCGGGACGCGTGGCTCCCAATAAAAATGTACACGGTGACTTCGAAGACCTCCCGTCTCGACGGAACGAGCCTCCTCCGTATTGAGGGTGACGTCTTCTTTTTTGTGTGAATTTACGGGGCGAGGCCCTCATGATCTCCTTAAATTTGCATGTAAATGGCGACATCAGCCTATACGCGTGCCAGGGGCCAGCGGGCCTCCCAGATGTCAAGGCAAAGTCAATCAGCCGGCCGCTGCCCAGCTGTCCATCGATGCACTTTATTGGGACAACACTTTCATTATGCTCACCTGCATTGTTTCCTAATGGATTGATTGGCAAACGGAGAAATAAAAAGAAGAAGAAGAAATCTTATTAGCACCCACCAAGCAAGTTCGCTCACGGCTTTATCACAGAGGCTGTTTTAAAGTGATTTTTTTTTTTTTAAATATCAATCAAACACGCCCTCAGTTATCATTTCAAATTCCATATCAGCCCACTCAGGCCTGCTGTTTACTGCAACATTGTTACTTCTATTGTTTATACTTTTAATATGTTGAGTATGTGGTAGAACTTAAATTTTATTTTATTTGTTTATTTATTTCTTATTTATTTTGTTATTTATTTATCTGTGCGGATGTGACATGTGCAAGATTCCGCGCAAAAATTAAACAAACAAACAAACAGCAAACTAATTTGCAGTGAGATGCACAGCCATTTGTTTTCAATTTTCTGTCACTTGTGGCTGCATTTTAAAAGATCAACTTTATTGTATTCTCATTCATTGAGACTTTTCTCACTTGTGGGGATACATTGGACAATATTTATAATTGTTTGATTTTCTTAAATTAAATTAGTGCTTCCACATTATAATAAATGTCTCCTTGCAAACTTTGTTTCCAGGAGCTATTAACGTTGTGCCATAATAAATGCACGTGCGGTATTCGATATGACATATTCAAATATCATATTAAAACACACTTTACGCGTTATTTTTAATTATAGGGGTAAAACACAAATGGCCAAGAGTGATGAGATCAATCATTCGAGGCTATTCGTGTCAAGCCCCAGTTACAGCGCTGATAGACGGACAGCGCCCCTCGTTGGTTACACTTGAGATCATTGTGTCGATATGAGGCAGCTGTGCTCCTCAGTGACAAGATAGCTAAATCTCAACATAGGTTTATCTAACACCCCCACCCCCCTCCCCCACATCTCCAGCCCCCCCACCCGAGCGACCGAAAAATTGTTCTCATGTTGTTTGTGGGACAAATGATCTCAAATAATTATATATAATCATAATATTTTGCAGGAGCATTCTTAAAAGATTGTTGAGCAGCGTGCACACGAGAATAAAAAATTAAATTCGATTAAAAAAATACATATGGATAAAATACATATTTATAAGGAACAGAGTGTGTGTTTTCCAGGCGGCTAAATAACTTCAAATTAAACTGTCACTTTTATTATTATTATTTTTATTATTATTATCAGTATTATTATTATTTATTACAGTCCACTTGTGCATCTTTTTTGATGCGTTTAATGTGGGCTTTGTCACAAATAAACACAATCACAGTATGTGGCACACAGCTGGTGTGACCTCACATTTCGTCACTAACTTCTGTCAGAGTGCTCATGTTAATTGTGTGCAGTGGTGAGTTCTGTCAAGGGCATTGCCCGTGCGCACAATTTGCATTTCCATTCTGCTGTGGAAATGATGAGAGAGTTTCTGCGCGGTTTAGAGCCTCGCGGCGCAGTCTGTGGGCGAATTACATTTAAAGAAGGCGAGAGAAATTAAATAAGAAACCGAGACCACTTCAGGGCTATTAACATCTAAAATATCCCCTGGAAATTTAGACCAAAATACACATGACCAAATACCCAGGATACCTTCGCTCTCATGCAGCCCCGTCTTGATTGTGTCCATCACTGTTTTGTAGGCCTATCTAAAATTCTTTATTTAAAAAAAAAAAGTTATCTCACCGCCTCACATTTCTCAGTGGCGCTGATGGGAGTGGGGTAAATTTGATTATTCAGCCATAAATCGCAGCATATTAACTTATAGCCCTAATATATGCGCTCAAATGCCAAACGGACTGTGCCACTCAGAAAAAAAAAAAAAAACGTGTGGAAAAAAAAAATCTGACTTTAAAAGGTCGTTTAAACATCTCATCAGTAAGTATGATATGGGCACATGTTGCATCGGGCAACGTGGCCTCCAAAATGAGAGGCATCAGCTTTAACCTTGGTTCTTTCAGAGCGCATGTGCGTGTGCATGAGCAAACAGGCAGCAGCCTTTGCCTCAGCACTCCAGAGAACTTTAATTTGCCTGTTGACCCCTGTGATGGAGCTATTGGCAACCTATAGTCAGACCACCCCACTCACATTAAAATGTATATTTTCAACATGTTGCATCAGTGCCTCCAATTTACTTCCACATCATTAAGGAGATACAGATTCGATGGTGATTGGCAAGA